AAAATTATTCGATTGCTTTTACAAAGAATATAAAAGGTTTTTTTAAAACAAACATATTTATTTTGAAAAATCAATCTGTTCAACGTATTTATGTATTTAAAAAACCCCCCTCTTATTATAAACTTTTTTATATATAATATTTATATACTTTTTTTATAATATTTAAATACTTGGAACCTAAAATTTAAAGCAAATTACCATATATATATAGACAGCATATTTAAATTTTAAAATGCAGAAATTCCAATAAGGCCACGCCGCCACATTGTGTGTCTAGTGTCAGCTGCGAATCTCATTTGTTTTTTTTAGAAATACGTTACGCCATAGCCTCCTGAAAATTGAACATTTTATAAATATTAGGACTGTCACTTTTGGATTGCAACCCTTTTTTTAATCTTCTATTTTTAAATTGCCACGGATTCGTGGAGAGTTCAGTTTTATATATATATATTTATTTATTTTGTCTTTTTTTTGGTGTCAATATGATAATTATATATAAAGACAACATATTTGTCTTAACTTTTTCAAAAACACAATCCATCTTGTTAGATTTCAGAAGGCTATTTGTTTAATTTTGTTTTGTTTTTAATACAATACAGAACAAAACAAAAATACATATATATGAACAAACATTGTAAATATTTTTGTTTTATTGTAGCTATAAATTTTTCTACATTTTTTTAACAAAATCATAAAAACAAAAGCCATCGGATTGGTAGGGAATATATTAAACGGTGTATTTATTTTAAAAGCAGGACGCAGAATGACCAACAGAGTACGTATTTAGTATTGTCATAGATGGTATGAACCCTAGTTACGAAGTTGTTTGGCGTTCCTTATTATTGTTCTCATTTGTTGAGATAGAAAATTAATCATGCACTATATTAGTAGTTCCTGCTTCGTGCGATTAATAAAGTAAATATATGATATCTTCTGTCGGACATCCACAGTCTGCAATCAGCATGTGCGCATTTATGAATTCATGGCACTAATATCTGGAAGTCGAGCTCTACATATTTTGGATGATATCTCCCTCGTTTGTGATTGTATATATCTTGTTTTTATGTCCAAATTTTATATCTAGACGTGAATTGGCCACAATAGAGGCGTAGATATTTTATTTACTTTGACATACCTCACGGTGCTGATATTAAAGGTAGAAGTAATCTGATCAGAAAAGGAATTGAAACCCACATACAATGACATTATGATTAAGAGTGCTGCCTGATTCAGATCAAAACTAGCGAAGTCGGAGATAAATCTGCACAATGGTTGTAAATTTGAACATGGTATAATTGGGCTGCAATACGTATTGGAAGCGATAGAGAATTCTATGAAAGCGACCATCCCAAATCAGCTATAGCCACCAAGGCAAACTAGATATCGTATGTTGTACATTGTGCTGTATACAGATGATTTGTTGTTTTCACTAGAACAATTTCGCCATAATCAAAATCAAGTATGGTCATTGTGGCCTACTATTTATCAAACAGCATAGTGTACAAATCTATCAATCTGCCGACACGTGCAAAATCGTACGAAATGTACTTTGCGCGTGTTCAGGTATATTCCGTTCCCAGTTTAGGATTTCGCAATATATCTCGTAGTAGCTAAAAATAGATATGTGCTATATAATGGAATATTTGTTCACAATTGTTGTTATAATGGTGACATGGTCCTTCCAAAAAAAATCTTCCAATGTGGGTATATATATTTCTTCTGAATGACCTACTCGTAAATCAAAATCGTAATGAATCACCAGTACTTATGTTTAGTAGTATCCGGCATACATATCCTAGATGTTGCAATTAAATATTTGACAACAAACGGGTATAAGACCCAAATGGTGTAAGGGTCACTTTCGAAGCTCATGGACATTCTATTTAAAACTAAGCTGAAGCTCAGTACTAGACAGGTGGTCCCTAAGCGACATTCTGCAAATTCTTGTCCATGGTTACTAGTTTCTTCCGCAACGAAGCATAGTGTTTTGTACTGGCACATGCCATGATACTGCTCGTGTATACAGTGCATAGACCAATGATTGAAAGCAGGCTTTATTTACATCACAATTAGCTGACTAATCAATAATATACGCGAAGCAGTTAGTGCGCTCCTTATTTTCTTGACCCACGTTTTGTAGAGATCGAAATTGTTCGGACGATTAGTATTTGTCCAACAACCCGTTCCTTGGTTATATAGTTTCCGGCAGTGAATCAGCCTCAAATTCCACTTCAGACCGCTTCTTCATAGTATATGCTGTTGTTTAACAACAGATGCTGGTCAAGATTGTTCTGCTCAATGAATTCAGGAAACACTGTTGGTGACAGCTACCATCTTTAGACAATGCGATACAAATTTATATGCACAAAGATATTTAAGAGAGAATTTCGAAGACCAATTAGCAAAAGCGAGTGTTTAAGTGTCCCGCTGAAACTCATCAATCCCTGCCTTAGATTCTGACCACCGAGGAAGCGATCGTCACCTAGAGTACGATCATCAGAATAGACGAGCCAAAGACACATCATATGTATTTTACAAACAATTGTGACATATCTAAATATAATACAACTTGTGTTTTATTCAGCGTTGTTTTCGCGCTTCTTTCGCGATATAATATAACAGTATCACTATTTAGAAAATAGGAAATCGTTTAATCTTTGCAACAGAAGTGGGATGCACACTTCATATTGCGATGACTGTTGTTGAACCAGCGTTGACATTTTCTGTTGTTCTTGACTTTCTTGTTATACTTATCCTTGCACACATCCTGGTTATTGTTCTTGCATGTTAGCCATTCGGAATTGGGCTCCTCACGACACTCAGCAATCTCACAACCATCTTCACCCAGTTTGAATCCCCACTGGCAGTACATCTCAAATTCCATCTGGGGCTTAGCTGCAGGGCATGATTTAGGACGGCACTCGGGAAGTTTACATCCATCGTGACCAGTCTTGTACCCATTGTCACACGGGGACTTGCTCGGAATCATGTCATGGCATTGATCGGGTGTGCAACACAAAACCATTGGATCAAATGTGGACCAAGAAACTCCATGGGGCTTGATTCGTACATCCTTAGCTAGCTCATTGTATTTAAAACCTGCTGGACACTCGTTATCTTTTATCCACTTCTTACATAACTCGAAACTGCTGGTCCCGGAGGAACTGGCCATGGTTACAGCCGAAGCGCTGGCGAGGACGAAGGTAGTGGCAAAGAACTTCATGTTAGTGAAAATACAACTCTATGGTAATTGATCGTGTTGTTTTGTGTTATTAACTTATTTGTAGAATGTGATATTATCCTATCAAAGTTATCCGCTTATATACGTATAGTTCCACTTGTTAGAGAGCCTGTTATATTGGTAAGAATTGAATTCTTTTGTACTATGTATGTACATAAACTGTGGTCATGATTTTATGCAAGATGATGGGACTGTCATTGATGCAACTTGCGCCTTTATTTTAAAAACGTCTGATACTATTTAATCTGTTTTTGTTCTTAAGAATTTTCTTTATATAAAATAAGGCAAACAATTGTTTTAATAGTAAAAAACGAGCATAAATAAAAACAAAAATAGAAACAAAAGGAGTATTTACATACGACCTAAGTATTTAGATTGTTCACATTTCAGTTCATTGTCTGATTATCAGTCTTATTTCGGTTTTAAGAAATGCTAAATAAATCACACACGGACACACCCTCCTTGTCACTTGAGTTGCTAGTAAATATAGAAATTCAGAACAGTCAGATTAATTTTGAGATTCAGATAGGGGTGGACTACAAAAACAGTAGGTTTTTGGAAGACGGGGATTTTACTATAAAGGTTGACCCAGAGGTACTTTAATTATTGACGTTCATTGGTCGTTAATTAGTATGACGAGTTAGTCGCGCATTTTTAATCTCATCCCGATCGGCCTATTGGTTCAAAAGGTAGGGCTAATACTGGTTTGTACCAGAGATGGGTCAAACAAGCCATACGTAGGTGCTGTGAGTGTGTAGGTCCATGTACACCCATCCCATGATCGTAGGATCAATGTATGTTACTTTAAGGATATATGTGCACGCACAGTGACTCAGAAGATGTGTTACTTGTACCTCGTATTTTCACTGGTACAAAATATACTAGGTAGAGAAACTGGTACCTGAAATACACCTCCAGAGTCGCTGTGCGTGCACGTATATCCTCCCAAAGGCTGACTCGTCTAGATGAACATTTTAAGTTATCTAACGACCAATGAGCGTACATTAATAATGTACCTCTGGGTCAACCACTATAGTAAAAATCTCCCGTCACCAAAAGCCAATATTTTTGTTGTCCACCCCTATTGAACTCGAATTTTTAAATAAATAAATAAAAGAACAATATATAAATAGAAATTCACGAATGACAGCAAAATACTGAAATTGAGCATATCATGTGCTTGCTCATGCTGACTAGCTGTGCTTGCTGTCATCATCATGTCTTGCTGTGTCTTGTTGAGGAGTAGTTTGTCTTGTTGCCTGTTGGACACTGGCGCTAAAGAGTAGACTGTAGAGTGTAGAGTGACTGTATATGTACTGCGTACTGTATACACTCTATACAGTATACACTATACTGTAAAGTAACTGTATAGTTTTGAATCTATAAGAAGCGAGAGGAGGAGGCGAGAGGTGACTGGGAGTAGACTCGCTGAGTCTGGACTCTGGACTCTGAACTCTAAAGTGTGGACTCTGGAGTGTGGACTCTGGACTCTGGTAAGACCGTAAGTCTGAGCTCTGGGATTCTACATAGAGCCTAACCTCATTACGTTTCCCTTTAAAACGAAAAAAGAAAGAAAGAAAAAGCGTTTACATACGTTAAAAGTTTATTGTATTTTTTTGAGGCGGCCTAACTGTCACGAATTGTCCTATTTTTCACTTTGTGTCAGTTGTGAATAGTTTCAAATCGCCTGTTCATAAAAATAGAGCCCATTTTTATAAAAACAAATAAAAAATTGAACCCTCAGCCGGGCCTCAGGCATATAGGAGTGAAGATCACTGAAGTCAGTGAAGGAATTCGGAAGAATCAAGATCAAGAGTAAAAGCTGAGTCAGCCTGCAAACCAAGATATTATTTATCACTTTCGTTTGTCAATATTTATTGGCTATTGCTACATATGAAGGGGGAGCATTACTCTGTATTAATCAGACAGTCTCAGTCTCACAGAGTGACAGTGTCAGACTTTCAGTCTTTTTTAGTATTTACCATGTATTTCTTAATTTTTTAAATACAACCATATAAACCTTCTTGTGCTCAATACTGAATACTGAATAGTGATTAGTGAATACATACGTATTTAATATTTACCCTAATACTGAATACATACACAAAAATAATCATATAAATTGTTTGTTTTTAAAAGATTTAAACAATAATAGTAAAGTAAATATGTTAGATGTATCCCTGGATCTATTTATAGCAGACTTTTATTAAAAAAAAAGGAACAATGGAGTCAGAAACTCAGAGACTCAAAATCCTATAGAACTCTGCACTCTGTAGCAAGAATCTGTAAAACAAAAGCAAAATTGAGTAAACTAAGTCAAAAATCGAGTAAGTCAAAAGGCTCGAAAACAATTGGTCTCAGCGGGAACCAGTTCGGAATGGTTAAAACTTTATGCTGCTGCATAAAATTCGAATATGGAATGAGATCCAGAATACAAATATAGAAAACACTCAAAATTACCTATTACTCATGCTACGATCTATACCTCTTGCGGACTGCAACTTGCAACACAACAAACTCGTGATGCTTAAAACTACTCATTGTACATACTCAAACGCTCCGGGCGGGCCTCCGGCTCAACACGCATAAACATTTAAAAAAACCATAACCTACTATTTTTTGGATAGAAATTTGTCCAGAGCCTCAGTGAGGGCCATGTGAAAACCTTCAAATTTTGAACTATTACTTAGAAACTTGAGGATCGAAATATCGGTAAAATATACTGTGTTGTTACCTGGTGAATAGCTCGACACGCATCAAATTTGTTTTTTGGCATGGGTATTAAAGCGTTAAAAAATCATACATAAGTGTCAGAATCACTCGAACGTAAACAACAACGAATACTACAACTTTATCTCGCCACCAAAATGAAGTTCTTTACCACTACCCTTGTCCTCGCCAGCGCTTCGGCTGTTACCATTGCCAGTTCCCCCGGAACCAGCAGTTTCGAGCTGTGTAAGAAGTGGATCAAAGACAACGAATGTCCAGTAGGTTTTAAATACAACGAACTAGCTAAGGATGTCCGAATTAAGCCCCATGGAGTTTCTTGGTCCACATTTGACCCTATGGTTTTGTGTTGCACACCCGATCAGTGCCATGACATGATACCGTGTGGGTCTCCATGTGACAATGGATACAAGACTGGTCACGATGGATGTGAACTTCCCGAGTGCCGACCTAAATCATGCCCTGCAGCTAAGCCCCAGATGGAATTTGAGATGTACTGCCAGTGGGGATTCAAACTGGGTGAAGATGGTTGTGAGATTGCTGAGTGTCGTGAGGAGCTCAATTCCGAATGGCTAACATGCAAGAACAATAACCAGGATGTGTGCAAGGATAAGTATAACAAGAAAGTCAAGAACAACAGAAAATGTCAACGCTGGTTCAACAACAGTCATCGCAATATGAAGTGTGCATCCCACTTCTGTTGCAAAGATTAAATGATTTTCTATGTTCTTAAATGGTGATACTGTTAGTATATTGCGAATGAAGCGCGAAAGCAACACTGAATAAAACACAAGTTGTATTATATTTAGAATATCACAATTCCTTTAATATTCTGATAATTGTACGTCGAGGTGGCGATCGGGTTCTCGGTTCTCAGGATTCGACGAGCCTCTCAGTGGTACAATACTCTATTAATGTCAGCGGGCCTATTAATCACATAAATACTCGTGTCTGCTGACACTAAACTACTGGGCTTCAAAGTCTTCTTCAGAATATAAATCCAGAATCTTGGCACTTTATGTCTATGTATCGTATGCACGAGCAGTATCATGATATGCGCCAGAACAGAAGAATATGCTTCGTTGTGGACATAACTAGTGTCCATAGCCACAAAGTTTTAGAACGTCGCCAGGGACTATATGTCCACCACTGAGCTCCAACTTAAAAATGAAAATAGAATGTTCTACAGTGAGTATCACAGCAGTAGGAATCTAAACTGATATATTGAAAATAAATTAGAGATGCCGGCAAATACTATCCAACATTCGTAACGGTGACTGTTTACGGTATTGATCGAAGAGTAAGTTATTCAGAAGAGGTTTTTTAACCCACTTTGAAAGAAAGAAAGGTTGCCAGAACCATATCACCACCCGAAGAACAATTGTAAACAGATAGTACTTCCTATAGCATATGTCTGTTTTTAGCTGCGATTTGTTTTGCAAAACACCAAAAGAGAAGGAAGAAGTGAACGGAATGTACCTTAAACGAGCAAAGTTTCACGGAGTGTCTTTCGCTATAAATTTAGTTTAATTACTGTAGGTGGCCAGGAGACTGAGAAACTTTTACATGACAGTACATTATGCTGTGTAGTTGATAGTAGGCTATGTCCATGATTGGTTTGTCCCTTATTGGCTTCAGGTATAGCCAAATCGCTCCTCAAACGTCGAATTGTCTGTAGACACGCACAATGTACAGGAGATAATACTGAATTTGCCTTGGTGACTATAGCTGATTCACAGTGGTTAACCTTTAAATATACTAAGAAGTATACCAAGCTGCCTCTGAAACAGATTATAACTCCATCATACCATATTCAAATTCACTACCATTGTACTGATTTATCTCCGAATCAGAATCAGGCAGTGCATCAAATCCTAACGTCATATCTGGTATCTATTTTACTTCCTGTGATTACTTTTAATTTCAATATCGGCATCGTAAAGCATGATATAACAATGTGGTATAACCTCCAGTCATTGGTCGTTCTGCAACGAATATAACATATGTCACTCATTATACACACTCCTCTAATATGGATAATTCACGCTCAGGTACGAAATCATCGATTGTGAACGCAAAGAAGAAGAAAATCGTACCAAGACATATAATATGCATGTTACTGACGGAAATCAAGTTTAATCACCAACGAGGAAGGTATCTTCCAAGGTCTATTGGGCTCAATTTCCAGTAAGTCGTGCCATGGATCCAACAATATGCACATGTCGCAGGATTCAGGAACTACTTATAGTGTATGGTTCTTTATTTATCTCGACAGATGAGAACAATAATAAAGAACACTAAAAACAACTTCGGAACTAACATCATGCGTGCGTATCAACCCTGAAAAATCTGCTGGCCTTAGGCGGTTCCAAATCGATTTTTGTTTTGTTTCTGCTAACATTTCCCCAAAAAAAAGTAAGAGGCAGGCGCCTATACTTTACCCTTCTCCAAGCCAGTTTCTACTAAACCAGATATATTTTTCCAAGAAGAAGGCGAAAATTGGGTTCGGGCCCCAAAACCCTAACATTAATTTCGGGCCTATATCTAGCAGAAACAAAAATCGACTTGGAAGTTGGAACCGCCTTACCTATCCGTTGGTTATATATCTGGGCTGCTATACGACAAAGACATGTCTTCTTAACTAACTAGTTTCAGGCCTGTCGCGACATGTCTTCTTAACCAAATAGTCTAGACATTAAAAGACCGTGTCGTCTACTATCGACAAGTAAAAGACGCCAACCAATCCTATATGACCTTTATACAGATGCAGTGGCCCAAGACAGTAGGACCGGGGTATGAACCTGTGTATGACCCCAGTTTTTTTTAATACATTTTATAGTTTTTGTTTTTCGTTTCCAGTTTGAGTTTCCGGCGAGTATCCGTTTTCGGCGGGGGTTCTGTCCGCTAGAACTTGTGTCGGTTGAGTGTCGAGTTGACAGTAAATTTTTTATTTTAAAGTCTGCCAAAATATAGGCAAACGTCAAAATATTATTTGTAAATATTTAGTGTTTTACTGATTAGTTTAATTGCCCCATCCATGTACTGAGGGGATCTGATTTTTAAGAAGCAAACCTAATTCACTATATCTGGTTTTGGATACAATCCTAGTTTGGTTTTCTAGACTTTTTCTAGAAATATTTCAAAATAATTTTGCAAAGGCGCCAAGTTGATAGCTTAACTCAGTTGTATATAGATAATGCTTTGGTTATTTTTGTGAAAAATAATACAAAATACATCCAAGCCAAATTCAGTCTTCAGTGTGTATCTATTTGAAAAAAATAGTATGTTATAGAAAAAAAAACACGATCCAATGGCAATTCAATAGTGTCCAACGTCCTTAATATGGATAAAAATAGAGTATACATATACTTAATATAGGATGGATTTTCAATTTTGGATTTTCTGATTCTAAAATTCCAATGCCACGATGTCTGTCAGGTCGCGTCAGCTGCGAATCTCATTCATTACGTATTTTTAAATCTGTCGTTATAGTAGTTCAGATTAATATTATACGTTGAACGCGAACAAATATAGTTTGAAATGTTTGAACGTTATAAAATGTCTGGTGGGATTGCCGATTGGGTCTAACTTACCATAGAGTACAAATAGGCTATAAAATTAAATTGTATCCGTATGATGCACCTTATAACCTCAATATTGCACCCATATCAAATATACAAGCCCGACTACTGTAAACGTTCTGCGTATCTATACAAGGGTCCCTTTTTTATATATTAAAAAATCTTAAAACGTAACAAAAGTCCAGTTCAGCTGTTGTATTTTATATCTATTTTTTGCGAACTTCTTGTGGAATAAAAAACGGAATGTCCAATGTCCAACAGTCCCAAGTCCTCACAAGCCTCCAACTCTCCAAGCCCACACGACTCACGAGAGGCACGCAATTTCAGACTGTATTTTGATATGTGCATGTATTTTGACAACCAACTGTATTGATATCAAGTGGAAAGTATGTCCTATATTCTTCTCTAGCTCTAGTAGAGTGCAAACTGCAAAGAACAGCCATATATAACAAGCATCACGGGTACTGTTATAATATTATTTAAATACGATAAGCAACCATAAACCATCTCACAAATTTCTAGCACACAAACATGTCGTTGATAACTCTCCAATATGAAGATCTGAAGGCCAAGAAAGACTTATCTGAAGATATTCGAAGTGCATTCGGTGCCAAGGGCCTGGGTGCTCTGACGATTGCTGGAATACCTGACTATGTTGAGATGCGAAATAGGCTTTTAAGACTAAGTCATATAATCTCCAAGCTACCTGAAGATGAGGTATAGCGATCACTGCGATTCTAGAGCCCAGTGTTATCTTGCGTTTTGTATGATTGAAATGATAACAGTTTGCTTGACACCTATTTATCATCTTATTATTTGATGATAGCTCTTAGAAATTCATATATATATATATATATATATATATGTGTGTGTGTGTGTTGTTGTGTGTGTGTG